AATTGGTGCATGTGGCACCGTGCGCACCTAATCGCTTCCCCTAACGATTTGTAAATACCCATCTTAGGGGGAAATAAGCCTGCTTGAAAAATGATGAATTGTACGCAATGAAGTAGGACAAACGGGATGTTTTCGTCCTGTCTTCCATTCATGCAGATACGACCATCCAAATTACCACAGCAGCTGGTGTTGAGAAGCCCCTCTGTGTCTACGACTATAACCTTAACATGGGAGGGGTGGACTTCAACGACCAGATGATGAAATCGTACTTAGTTTGCCGGAAAGCCAGACGCCGGTACAAAAAAGTGTCTTGTTTATTTCAATTGGCTCTATATAATGCTTTTGTGCTTTACAAGGCAACTGGACGTAGTGGATCCTTCCTACAATTCCAGGAAGAGATCATCATGGACCTTTTGTATCCAGAAGGTGCTGTGGCCCAAACCCCCAACCCAGATGCAGTTGGCCGGCTGCATGATGGGCATTTTCCTGATGCCATTTCCCAACCCAAAAACACCCCACAAAATATGTGTCTGTAGCAGACACGGAATTAGGCATGACACCCACTTTTTTTGTCCCACCTGTCCTAGCCAACCCTGTCTGCCTCACGGACTCCTTCTGTTGCTACCATACATTAGTGGAATATTCGTATAGGGTACAGCATGGCACAGTCTAGGGTACAGCATGGCACAGTTTACACATGGTCTTGAAAGCTGTTAGGTAGTCAGGAAATTGGCTGTCGCCAATTGAGAGACTCTAACATCTGGAAGCTTAAAAAAAACCCCAAGAAATAAGTAAAGAAAAAAAAAATTTAAAAACCAAAAATAGTTGTGATTTTACTTTTTTACTGTTGCAGTTTTATTGCTAACCATTGCAGTTTTCTTTGCAGGAATGCCATTTAGCTGCAGCGCCAAACTGCTTATTCTGACAGCAACAGGGTCATGCTCACAGAATATACATCAGTGCGTGCAGCGCTGTTGAATGAGATTTTACATCCGCAGTTAAAAAAGCACATATATGCGCATATATTTTTAAATCTTTTTTTTTTTCATTCTGCCCGCGAGCTGAACGAATAAAAAAAAAAAAAAAAAAAATCACTGGCCTTTGAGTGGTTATACCAGGATGATGCCTGGCTAGGTAGCTGCAGGATTGCTTTTACAAGCAGCGGCTGCCTTCCATGGCCTTCTCGGGCAGTCCCATGCCATCAGGGGAACCTGAGAATGCAGCTGGTATTTCTGCCAGCTGACCATAGAGCTGATTGGAGACGGGAATGGTGCCAATCATCTCTATAGTCTAATAAATCAGAAGCTACGCGCATTTAATCACTTCAGTTTCGCAGGATATAAACCGCACCATTTTTAAATTGGAAAGCATCTGATCAGATGATGTAAGGGCAGAGGAGATATCTAGAGTCTAATAGACCCCAGATTTTCCAGAAGATTATTCCTGTCAATGCCTATTCAAGTCGGGATATTTACATTCCCTGTGATAACAATAAAGGTGAGGAAAAAAATGGACGGTGTAAAAATAATTTAAAAAAAAAAAAAAGCGTTGACCCCCTGTCGGTATGTAAACAGCGATTTGCACCATGCATGTGCTGTAACCTGGTGAATGTCAGATCGAGGGCAGTATTTCTAGCACTAGACCTCCTGTGTAAATCTAAAATTGTAGCCTGTAAAGGCTTTGAAAGCGTCACCTATAGATATTAAAAATGTATGTAATTTGTCTCCATTTGCACGGGGTGTGTGTGCAGTTTTAAAGCATGTCCTGTTTGGCAAAATATAAAAGATGATGGTATGTCAAATAATTAGATACCAAATTGGCCAATATATTGTTTTTGTGCATTAAAAGTAAAAAAAAAATAAATTTTTTTTTTCAAAACAAATTTGTGTTTGAAAAATCGCTGGATGCGCACTATGTGACATAAAAAAAATTGCAGCACCCACCATTTTATTCACTAGGGTGTCTGCTTAATAAAAATATGTTTGGGGGTTCAAAGTAATTTCCTAGCAAATACTGTTTTTTTTTTTTTTTTTTTTTTTTTTTTTTTTTTCCTTCATGTGCACAAAGTGTCAGAAAAGGCTTGGTCTTCAGGTGGTTAGAAGAGGGAGTGTGTGGTATAAACCTCTAATACTGGGCATCTTGGCCTCTGTTTGCCCTGCAACTGCCATGGTGCTGCACATGTGATCAGTTATGACTCCAGGCATTTGATATTTTGACTGTTTAGTTGAGAACACAAACAAATGTTGACGGCATTTCTGGCATGCTGGCAATGGAAATGTGTTTTTTAAAACCGTTAAATTGATGGGATTAGTTCTGTTGATACCATTACAGTTACAAGTCTTCTTACAGTATGTTGGCTCTCAACCAAACATTAAAGTCATTAAGTGGCTGGTGTCATAGTTGATCACGTGCAACACCATGGCAACTGCAGGTCAGAGGCTAAGATGGCAGCTTCCTTGGCTGTAAAGGATAAGATGTTAATTACTTGACAGCCAATCGCCAGCTGAAAAAGCACTATCAAGCTCATGGCAGGGTTTTAAACTCTTGAATACTAATACATATATAAACATACCTTTTGTAGAAAATGGGATTACTTCTCACTCCAGCTAACACTTAATAAAGGGTTAGTTCACCTTTTAATTTTTTGTGAAAAGGTGGACTAACTCACAATGCCCTCCTCACTGCTTCAGAACCTGCTGCTTGTACATTTTCATCTCTATTTGCTGCATGTACTTTGTGATCTCCTGCTGGTATAATGTTCCAGTGCTTTAAAACTTAACTAAACAGTGCTTGAGACTGTATACATATTGCTTACAAAGGGCAGCACATATTGGTCAGTGCTGGCCATGTCATCTTGCTTGCAAATGAGAATCTTTACAAGCAAAACAAATTCAACTGCACAAATTCCCCACTAGTGCAATGCACAAAGCTGCAAATACTTCAAGAGGACATCCTCTCTTTACAAAAAATAAATAAATAAATGACAAATGTTGCTCTGTGAGTAAAAAACATGCATATAAATCGTGAAAACTGTGAACATAATATATATATATACAAGTGGTATAAAAAGCAATATCGTATACGGTCTAAATAAATATAATTTACGATATAATAATTTTTAAAGTCCACGTGTATAATATATCTCAAAAAAAAAAAATTGATGAAAAGAACCTGAGTTCCTAAAGTGCAATGGTATATATGTACAAATCTTCTTTCTGTCCGACTAGTCACCAATGAGAACAAACCAACACCATGTGGACAAAATGGAGGCTTACCAGATGAAGAGACCCCTTAACTACAGGGGGTCATTAAACGCTTTGGGGTTTATTTACTAAAGCTGGAGAGTCCAAAATCAGACTCCCTTCTGCATAGAAACCAATCAGCTTCCAGGTTTCATTGCCAAAGCTTCATTGAACAAGCTGAGGTTAGAAGCTGATTGGTTTCTATGCAGAAGGGAGTCTGATTTTGGACTCTCCAGCTTTAGTAAATAAACCCCTTTGTGTCAGTATAATGCCATCCAGACTTCTATGTCAAATCTGAATCCAGGTTCCCCTTAGACTAGTATGCCATTCCCTTGGCGTTGTCGGGACAGTATCATGGAAAATAAAACATGCCTCCTCATAGTGCAGTAAAACCAATGTGCCTTTATTATGCAAATATATAATCCTACTTACAGATGTAAAGAGGTATAACCGCATTCATAGACTATTTCCAAAATGGTGAGCAGCACGATGACGTCAGAGGGAGGCTCCGTCCGACGCGTTTCATCATCAAGACTTCTTTCGGGGTTTCAATTATTATATTGTCCTTAATTTAGACTGTATATGATATCGCTTGTTATACCATTTGTATAAATGAGAGTGTATTTCTTCTAGTAAAAAGGTTTAAAAACCATAATAATGAAAGCTGACAGTTGTTAGCACCACCCACAGTGTTCTACTTTCCCTTTTTGCTAGACAGCTTGGTCTGAATGTAAATATGGAGTAAATTATAAAGGCTTGTGAAATATACTGAATATAATCATTACAGGTTAAAAAAAAATACAGTAATTAAATCAGAATAGAATACAATATTTTTTGCTGTTGTGGTCTGTTATAAAAATGAGGACTGTTACAGTGGTTGTAAATCCCTGAAATGAAAAATGAAAGCGTATCCTTCTGTAGTATGTGCTTGCCTCAGTCTATAGAACTTAAGCCAGCCATACATGGATTCAACAGGAACTGGCCAAATTTTCACCCACGTATGGGCAGGGTGGTTGTACAGTAGCCATTTTACTTCTGTACATCCATCCTGTTGACTTTTTGCAGCTCAATCAGTGCTTGCAGTGCTGATCATTCTAATCTAGCGGCGGGGAAGTCTCTGTTGTAAGACTAAATTAGCTCAGTGGGGAGGATTCCCTATCCGCCTCAAGTGTGGATGGGGGAATTGAGTCAGATTTTTTTTTTTTTTCATTGAGGGGCTGATTTACCACCTCAGCTGTGCATGTTTCCCTGTGAGTCTGTGTTTGGGGAAGGGGGGGGGGGGGGGGGGGGTCCATTCCTATCCCTCAGGTCTTAGATAACATTCAGCTCCGTGCTGTGCAGTGTTAGACTTCAGATCTCCTGTTGTTTGCCTTCTGGAAGCTCAGAAATCACTTTTGATGTTCGTACTTTAAATGGCGCTGAAGGAGAGGGGGCTGCTGATAAACAAACAAGTACAGCTTATGTTGGAAGATTCTCTGTTTACAACCTGAGGCTAATCACTTCAGTGGGTGTGTATATAAGGGTTTATTATCACTTTAATGACAACTGTTGTTTCTGTGACTGGCAAAAGAATTTTCTCTTTTGACTGCCTGTCGTCTCCTAAGTTGGACCTCCCGACTCCTGCACTCTATGCTGGTCTGTCCACTTGCTGTGGAACAATGACTTCGGTTTTGATCGCAGCTTTAGCATCTTTTGGTAATGGCAACACTTTTTTGTTTTCAAAGGTGTAAACCGGCAGTCAATGAACTCCTCTGTGCCATGCGTGAAAGAGACCGTGTTCTGCTCGAGGAATATTTCCCCAAGATAAGATCTATGGCAGCGAAGACTGTCAGACAATTAATTGGCTGTGAACTGAAGAGAATCCAAGAAGCCAAAAAAAAAAGGTATGTTACTGCAAAGACAGGACAACATGGCATAATCTTTGCTGCATTAAATATATGCTCAGGTGTTACATAGCTTTACCCCCATATCTTCCCTTCATTTAGGGCACAGGTGTCAAATTGATAGCCCTCCAGCTGTTGCCAAACTACAAGTCCCATATGGCATTGCAAGATTGACAGATACAAGCATGACTACCAAAGGCAGAGGCATAATGGGACTTGTAGTTTCACAACAGCTGGAGGGCCGCCAGTTTAATTTAGGGCATGCCCCGGCCTTAATTTTTCTTTACTTTTATCTTATTCTTCTAGACGGAAATGTTGGAAAAAAGAATATATGTGAAAACAAACTCTTCAGTGTATAAAAAAACACACACACAAAAAAAGTAATAAAAAAAATATATAAAACACTGCTGCCACTATAACCCCAAATAAACAACATATCGCAGTATGATTAAAGAGTAACTCCACTTTTGTTTAGAAAAAAAAATTCCCCTCCTGGGTGATCTGTGTACATTGCAGGGATTTTAACAAAATTTGTTGCAGATTCTTACATTTTGTTACTCTGAAGGAGTAGCTGTTTGTTTGTCTGTGTCCATTTTTATTGTGAGGGGATGCTCAAAATCTGGTTTTGTAATTTAGTTCAGATGTCTGGGGAAAATCATTGAGCCAATCACACAAGGGGGAGGTAACATAACTGGGGGGAGTTCTGTACACCATCTGTGTACAGAACACCTCCAGGTAGCCATATTGCATTTTACAGAAAATGACAAGGTGATTTTTAATAACATTCAATTACAACACAACTTTTGTTGCAATTGTATACACTGTTCAAGAAAAATTTACCCGCCTTGGGACTTTAATGCAGCTTACAAAACCTCACATAAGTATTTATAAAAGAAAATGCATATATGCTTTGTATAAAAATACATTCAAAGATTAATGACATCATATTGATAACTGATAAGCTTTTCTAATGCTATGATCCCTTAAAGGGTTAAAGTAACACAATATTCCCCTTTTTGGGGGAATAATGTATTTGTACTTTTTTTTTTTTTTTATATATATATATAAATACTTGTGTAATGTTTTGTCAGCTGCATTAAAATCCCAAGGGGGTAATTTTTTTTCTTGAATTTAATATTGGGGGTGAGCAGCTAGATGCTCCACCCTTCTTTTTATATATATATATACAGTGGGGATCGAACGTTTGGGCACCCCAGCTAAAAATTTGTATTAATGTGCATAAAGAAGCCAAGGAAAGATGGAAAAATCTCCAAAAGGCATCAAATTACAGATTAGACATTCTTATAATATGTCCACAAAAGTTAGATTTTATTTCCATCATTTACACTTTCAAAATAACAGAAAACAAAAAAATGGCGTCTGCAAAAGTTTGGGCACCCTGCTGAATTTATAGCATGCACTGCCCCCTTTGCCAAGCTGAGACCTGCCAGTGTCATGGATTGTTCTCAATCATCGTCTGGGAAGACCAGGTGATGTCAATCTCAAAGGTTTTAAATGAGTCATCAGAAGAAAACCTCTTCCACGTCTTCACCACAAAAATCATCGTTTGAACTTTGCAAATGAACATATAGACAAGCCTGATGCATTTTGGAAACAAGTTCTGTGGACCGATGAGGTTAAAATTGAACGTTTTGGCCGGAATGAGCAAAGGTACGTTTGGAGAAGGGGCACAGAATTTAATGAAAAGAACCTCTGTCCAACTGTTAAGCATGGGGTTGGATCAATCATGCTTTGGGGTTGTGTTGCAGCCAGTGGCACAGGGAACATCTCACGAGTAGAAGGAAAAATGGATTCAATAAAATTTCAGCAAATTTTGGATGGTAACTTGATGCCATCTGTGAAAAAGCTGAAGTTAAAGAGAGGATGGCTTCTACAAATGGATAATGATCCTAAACACACCTCGAAATCCACGGGGGATTACATCAAGAGGCGTAAACTGAAGGTTTTGCCATGGCCTTCACAATCTCCTGACCTCAACATAATTGAAAATCTATGGATAGACCTTAAAAGAGCAGTGCGTGACAGACAGCCCAGAAATCTCAAAGAACTGGAAGACTTTTGTAAGGAAGAATGGGCAAAGATACCTCAAACAAGAATTGAAAGACTCTTGGCTGGCTACAAAAGCGTTTACAAGCTGTGATACTTGCCAAAGGGGGCAGTACAAGATATTAACTCTGCAGGGTGCCCAAACTTTTTTGCAGACGCCATTTTTTTGTTTTCTGTTATTTTGAAAGTGTAAATGATGGAAATAAAATCTAACTTTTGTTGACATATTATAAGAATGTCTAATCTGTAATTTGATGCCTTTTGGAGATTTTTCCATCTTTCCTTGGCTTCTTTATGCACATTAATACAAATTTTTAGCTGGGGTGCCAAACTTTTGATCTCCACTGTATTTTTTTTTTTTATTTGCTATTTTTTTTCTTTTCACACAAGTGGACTTACCCTTTAAATAAAGTGCCTAATCATTAGTAGTGCTGTGAAACAATATTTAAAAATAATATAACACCGTTAAATAAAATAAACTAGTGAATATCAAAGTGAACAAACATCCTTGAACACACCAAGTAGTTGCAAAAAACCAAATAATCCAAAAAAAAGTTGAGTAGTTGCAGTGCTAAACAGAACAATATTGAATATCAATAGATAAATACCATCAAGTGCGAAAAAATAAAATTTCACATAAAACAAAAAATATACACAAGTCCAATGGTGTTCAAATCAATAATTGTGGACTGTGATATTCTGAATACAATAGTCCCAATGTCCACTGTATAATCTTCATCCAGTGATCCAGGAACAACAGACGTGTCACCTCCACCAAAAAAATGTAGAATGTGATCAGCCCAAATGATCCCTTTTCTTTAAAAGAGGAGATTTGACATGTCCAAATCCAGCGAACACCTCAACCCAATCTAGTGTGATTTGGCAACACTAATTTTCCTGTCATGTTTCAGAAACGTGAATTAAAGCATGTCCCTGCAGTCTGATTCCATAGCTGTTGGTATCTCTTCATCACGTCTCTGCTCACAAGAGACCAGTAATCCTGTAAAAAAAAAAAAAAAAAATGCCTCCAATGCCACTATTGTGCAGTAAAACCCAAACTAAAATTTTATTTCATAACATAGCTCACCATAATACTTCTTGCATTGTAGTATACATTATTAATCAAACCATAACTGATATTCATATAGAACCCGCAAACACTGCCAGCTTCATAAATCTTGCCACCACACTCGGCTGAGAGTGACACCACTACCGCTTACGTTGCGTCCACCTACGTCGCTCAAAAAGTCAGTAAAGGTGAAACGTATCGAGATGCTGTTGGGCGTGAGCAGTGAGTGACGCATGTGGAAGGGACATAACCGGTAGTGGCGTTAGAGTCTCGGTCAAGTGTGGTGGTGAGATCTAAGGATTTGTGGGTTCTATATGGTTATGAATTATTTGAGAGTTTGGTTATGTTATTTGTTAACCACTTGCCTACCGGGCACTTATACCCCCTTCTTTACCAGGCCAATTTTCAACTTTCAGCGCTGTTGCACTTTGACAATTGCGTGGTCATGCAACAATGTACCCATATGAAATTTTTATCGTTTTTTTTTTCTCACAAATAGAGGTTTCTTTTGGTGGTATTTAATCGCCGCTGGGCGCTTTACTTTTTGCGCTATAAACAAAAAAAAGTGCAAAAAATTTGAAAAAAAAAGTTTCTTTGTTTTCTATTTTATAAAATTTTGCAAACAGGTAATTTTTCTCCTTCACTGATGTGCGTTGATGAGGCAACACTGAAGGGCACTGTTAGGCAGCACTAATGAGGCGGCACGGATAGGCGGCATTGACTGGCATCACTGCTGGGCTGCACTGGTGGGTGGCACTGCTGGGCACTGATGATCGGTGCCGATCCCTGCTCTGACAACTGCCGGTTCTCGGCAGTACTTTCCTCACGCTCTGACAGCGTGAGGAAAGTGCAGCCGAGAACCGGCAATTGCATTTCCCGGTGATCAGCGTGTCCTTGGACACGGCTGATCACGTGGTAAAAGGCTGCTGTGATTGGCCTTTTACCACATCACGTGATCAGCTGTGTCCGTAGGACACAGCGATCACGGAGATTGCCGGGGGCGTGCTGGAGAGCGCGTTCTGGAAGGACGTCCTATGACGCCCTCCCAGAACTGGCCGGCCGCAGTGTAGCCGTCATTCGGCTATCTGCGGTTGGCGAGTAGTTAATATTGTTTCACATCACTACTAATGATTATGCACTTTATGTAATCATACTGTGAAACTAATTTAATTCTCCCTAAGAAATCCTGACCACGCTTGTAAAATTCTTGCAGGGATAACTGCTTTGTAGGTCAGTTCTACTTGATGTAAACCTGACTGTAGATCTGCTTCTTCCAAAAGCCCTTTCCCTACACAGTGTGTGGGTGGGCTTTTGGAACTGAAGCCAACAGCATTTTTTTTCCCATAGGGAACACTTTGATTTCTGATAGATCACTGAGTCATGTTCAGCGCTTGCAGCATTTTTAAAAAAAAAAAACATGGGAAAAATGTGCATCCTTCTTCTTTTTTTTTTTTTTTTTTTTTCCCCATTTTACCCAGACACACTGTAAAGCAGGGGTGCACAACCCATGGCCCACATTCTCAAACCAGGGAAGCACATGCCCAGGGTTGGCAACACGTTGATCGTTATCTGAGCTTGCCGACCCACCACCCCAGGCCATCAGAGTGCATTGAGCTGGCACTGGCTGTGCAAGAAGTGGGTAGCTGTGGAAGGGAGCAGGAGTCGCAAAGGCCAATGCTTCCTTTGTATTGCAGGCTGCTGTCCCAGGTGGAGTGACACAAAGTGCATTTCACCTGGAATCTTTTTTAGCAGCCTGGAGAGCAATGCCAGCAGAAGCTGGAAAAGAAGGTCAGTGTATTAAACATCGCATACACTGCGATTTTGCAATGGGCACATTAACCCCTATAAAAGGGTTAACAACTATTAGGCTGCTTTCACACTGATCCGCAGGTGCAGTGCACTGCACCTGTAGCTTTCCTGTGGGTATGCTGCACTGAGCCATAGGCTTCTATTATATTTTGTGGGTTTGGTGCGCTTTCATAAAACCCCCATAGCTGGAACATGTTTTTCCACCCCCCCACCCACCCAAACTGGTGTAGCGTCAGGGGTCGTGTAACCTCCCTGTCACATTCTGTTTTACACTTGGACAGGAGGGGCGCCATATACAAGAAAAGATCCTCTCCATTTCCTCCTGCAACTGCTGAAAGCTGGCTTCTGCTTCTTTCCTTTCTGTCAGCATTCAGCGGCTGCAGGAGGAAAACATTCATTATGCTATTCAAAATAAAATAATTTGCACTTCTGAACCATGTCATTTCATTGTGGCCCACGATTGGTTACCAAATCATTTATGTGGCCCTCGCTCTTCAAAACGTTTAGGACCCCTGCTTTAAAGAAACCCAGTCGGCAGATTCTTAAATTATAAGCCTACTTATACTGCTGCTTTACTCCTTCTTTGCCTCCCTGGCTATTCCTATACATTCTGGCCTCTCCCAACAGTGTTTTATCAATGCATGTGTTGTTGACTTTGTAGAAAAAGGTGAAGGGTGGACAGCAGCACCTGTGCCAGGCACATACAGGAATCCAAAACTGCTGGAAGTGTAGAGAAGAGATTCCTGTTTGAGGGTAGAGTATGGCTACGTTCGTTCTCCATGGGCCCACTGTATGTAGGAACATAGCCAACGTCCCTTACTCACTCTTGAGGTTCTATGGACTATAGGATTTGTTGTGTGCATAGAGCAATGCACATGACTGCAACTAACATACACTGCTCGCTTCAAACAAATTTATATTAGGGGGAGAAGGAGAGATTTGGGAACTCAGAATGTTACAAGGCAAAAAGCAAAGTAAGAAACTATTTCATGAAAAATAGATTGCAGGGCCATTATGGATATTTTTTTTCTTTCTTTTTTTTAATTTGCCTCATGACAGGATCTCTTTGGAGATTACTGGTAAACAGGAACTATGATGTGTATCCTTTTCATTTAGGAATTAGGTTTGAAACTGGACGATTTGACAGCACAGAAGATGAAAATGATCAAGGAGAATGTAGAAGCTTTCATGGAGTTATTAGGGTTGGAGTCAGGCGAGATGCTCTTTCATAGCTACAGGTTTCCAGACCAGAAGAGCACTCTTGAAAAGTTCAAGAAAACGTACAGCTTTCGGCAACGAATCGGTAATCTATATATAAAGTATGTTTCCATTCCATGTGTCCACAACATAGAATTTGAACTCCTTTATTTTCTTTTGTCTGTTTGTGGTCATGTGATCACTAACACTCTGTCTTGGTTCCCTGCTCAGTGATTAGAGATTTCCCTTAAAGAGAATAGGAGGACACACGTTCCTTTTTAGACTGAACAGTGTCTGAGCTATGTGTAACAGCCCCCCCAAGAATTACACATGGATAAAATAAAGGCCAGTTCAAGTACAAATGCTAGGTCTATGTTAAAATACCATTATTTTTAAATTAATACATACCTGATGTTACAGGGCGAACCTCTTTCACTGTGAATTTGGTCAGGAAAAGGTTACAGATTTTGCACCCTTGCAGAGTACAGGACTACTGCGTGTACATTTTGAGTGGAGAAAACTGCTTTTGCAGCTTTCTCCGGATTTTGTATTTCCAGATGGGGCTCCGTAGTTTGGAGATTTCAAAGTGACTTGGGAGGGAAGTAATCTGCAAATACACATTTGTGGTCATACAGTACATCTCTGCGAAACCTATGCAGTACACCTCTGCTATGCAATTTTCTCATGTTTTGCCACTTTAAAAGACTTCAGGTGCTAAAAATACATTTCATCCTGCCAAACATTCAGTGCCAAACTTCCTGCCCTCTGCTGCACTGAATCCCAAGCGGTGTTGTCAGTTCTATCCAGCTGGACTATGAAATCCCCCCCCCTTGTAAGTTATAGTGTGAGGGAAAGTGTTCTGTACTCCATATGAAGAGAACCAAGCAGAGTTAACAAAATTGCTTGAAATTTCAGTGAAGCGGATTTACTGAGCGTTTCTTCAGTTATCCAGTCATGGATAATTTACTTTCCTGATGCCAATCCATGGCAGCATACATGTGATATATCTCCGCCCCTATATTCATCCACAGGACCTGTGTATATCTATAAAAGTCTGACTGAGAGTAACCTCCCCCATTCTCCTTCTTGTCCTCAAGATCTCCACCTGCAAGACCGTGATGTTACAATAAATCCCTACATGCCAACTGAGTTGGAGTCCGCCTGGGTTCAGCCTCTCCCAGGCGCAGTCCTGCATCTTAGGTTGCCAAATTCACCAACAAGGTGGGCAGCCCCTTCTGGTGGTCTTTTGGGACTGAGGAGTTCTCTAACCAGAGACGTCAGAACCTCATGTGCTGCACCTTAGCTGGTGTTTGCTGGAGTCCATGCTGCATGTGTTTTTCTGCACACCTGAGCAGGATCATGGTGCTGGAGTTAGTGCTGCCTTCTTTTTTTTCTCCCACAGGTTAGTGCTGTCCCTTTTTGCCAGCAGACTCTGGGCACAACGTCAAGGATGCAGCCCTGCACAGCAGGAGGCCCAGAACGGGGTAACCCAGGTGACTGCCTTTCGAAGTCAGAACATCACGCACAGCCTTTCACTCTCCCCAGTGAATGGAAGGATGAAGAGGTTGTTTCAAGAAGAGTGGCAATAGTGGTATGAAGTTTTTCATTAGTAAGCAGCTGCAAAATTATACCCTATCCAGGAGGAAAACGCCACTTCTCTGTTGGAGATGATGGATAATGCATTGCAGTAACACACACTACAGCACTGCACTCCACTGCAAAGTTCTGGACAATACTAAACTGTTAAATGCCCTATGAAAAGCAACGACATGGGATCTCTTTTCAGAGGCGCGGCTATGTTAATCTGCATATGCAAAAAAGCCCTAATGCTCATGTTGGACAAGCGGCTCTGTATACCAATTGGCATTATGTCAAGAGTTGTCAATGGTTAGTTTGGTCTTCCTCTTCATAGAAGGTCAAAGCTCAGGTGAGTTCTCTTGGCTACTTTGACCCACATTACATTTCAAGACTATTTTTCCAGAATTAGGAACTTCAAGGGCTGGTGAAAGAGTGTGCAAAGACACTCTTCTGCAGAAAGAACAGCCTTAGTACATTTCATTCCTTTCAACCCCTACAGGAGTTTTGTTGAGAGGACCCCTCTACCAGGCTAGTGTGGCTGATTCGGCACACAGATGGTAAAGCACATTTTTGGGATCCATGGGTGCCTTCTATGGTAAAACTCGGTTACTTTTGATGGTTCAGACATTGCCTTCTAGAATTCTTCATCCAGACTAGAGTAACATTTTCTACTTTCAGTACATCAGTAATATGACTGCAAAGGGCATTGATTCGAAGTCCTCCCTCACAGACTTTATTCTCTTTATGTCTGTACAAAGAAGAGTGAATGTTGAACTGGTGTTGAGTTTAAAGACACTGAGTCTCAGTGGGGAATTGACAATTCCAGTTTACATACCTTCCTTCATGGCTCTCCACCTCACAAATGACTTTGCGAAGGTCCTAATTTCTGTGTAGCCCCTGTGAGGAAATGGGCTGCTTTGCATCCATCATTACTTAGTATTCTACTGTTGTCCCAGAGCCTAGCTTACCTACTAGTGCAAAAGGGATTTTCATCCGGTCAGCCTGAGAAGTTTTGGCTGGATTGGAGGTGTCAAAACAGTGCGAGCAGACCCATCTATTCCTCTGTATGGAAGCCCAGTTCAATGCTCGATTTGAGTACTTTTCTGCTCCTGCTCAGAATAGGCCAAGGAGCAGGGAGCCTCTTCGGTAGTTGTATCTGGCAGTTTTGTCAAGCTTCCCAATTCAGGGGTCTCCTGGAAATGATGATGTCTTGCATCCCTATGCTATCCTGGGCACACTGGATTCTCTGCACATTCCAAAGAATTTCCTTCCAATACAGAAGTCGGCACTGATTCAAAGTGCTTCTCATGAGATGTGCAGGAGTCTCTGGGTATGGGTGTGACGGGATCACTCGATCCCGTATGGTAGGTTCATTATCTCGGACAAATCACCACCTGCAGTTACTATGTGCGCTGTCACCTCGTATTCAGGCTTGACTGGTTATTCTGCATGATGTTAACACAGCAGCAGTATCATGCATCTAGAAATAAAGGAAACTCAACAGCAGGTTTCAATGGAAGTGGAACTATCATGTCCATGACTGAATGTAATCTTCAGAGGCTGCCGGGCACACAGGATGCCAAAAGGGGCTGTGGCTCCAGCTGTTTTTGGTTCCCAATGAATGGGTCTTTAAACAAAAAGATATTGCCCATATCACTCAAGTATGGGGCCTCCCTCAGTTGATCCTGTTTGCATCACCATCCTTTCACAAGGTACCTCTCATGCTACCCTCACCCGTTTGGAGGAAGTGGACGCTTACTCAGCCAAGGAATAGTTGCCTAGCAAATGGCTTTCCTCTACTGCCTTTGGTCATGAAGTTCCAGGGGGACTGTTGTCAGAGTGTCTCACTGTGATAACATGCATACCCGATTAGCCTGCAGGTCTGGGTTTTACCCTAGCCATGGAACTGGTATCTGGACCAAGCACTTCAGCTACCACAACACCTGGCCCAGAATGGATTGGAAATTGAGAGGGAAGGATTGAAGGAATAGGGCCTTCCTCTTTCAGTGGTAAATCCAGCAGGGTTTCAGGAAGGATGCGAACAAGTTCAGTTTTTGCAGCTGAGCAGGATTTTGATCCTAGCAATCCAGTGGTTGCCTAGTTGCTATAATTTCCTCACACAGATCTGGATTTGGGGCTCAGCCTAGTTCTGTAAGGGCTCAAATTTCAGCTTCATCAGGGAATATGAGCGTGTGAGCTGCCAGGGGAGCATTTCAGGAGGTTGGTCCTGAGACTTTGCCCTGAGGAGGAAAAAACCTTTCTTCTGTGGGATTTTATTCTGGCACTGGATTTCCTTTGCCAGGTCTGTTTGCACCAATATAAATGAGTTCAGTAGGACATCACTTGAAGCAGTGTCCCTCGATAACTTCAGGGGGCAGAGTTTTGGACCTGCAAGCGCTTCAATCTACAGAGTCCTACATCTTCTTTCTTCTGAACAAGTTGGGGCCTATGCCCCTTGAGCACCTTTTGTCTCCCGGTGCATCAATTTCTCATATTACAAATTAGTGATTCCATCCTTTCTGGCACAGATGGTACCTAACCTACACAAGCTGGATGTGCCAGGTATCTAAAATGCCTACCTTCAAGCTGCTTGCTAGTTTAAATCCTCTGGGAGGCTGTTTGTGTTTCCATCAGGCAAATTGAAAGGAGGAAGCTGCAGTAAACCTTGTCATCTTAGAGTGTCAAGGTCATCCTGAAAACACAGTGCAGCCAGACAAGAGCCTCCACAAGTGGTAGAGGCTTATTCAGCCAGGTCCATCTCTAAATTCGGGGCAGCGCATGCAAAGTGTCTATGAAGACTTTTGCAAAGCAGCAGGCTAGTTACCACACATACGAACCCCCTCCCTTGTTTGATTTTGATTGTACGGAGAATGGGGGAGGTTGCTCTGTCAGACTTTTATAGATATATACAAGTCCTGTGGGTGAATATAGGGTAGGGGCGGTGATATAGCACATGTATGCTGCCATGGATTGGCATCTAGAAAGGAAAATTAGGGTAAGTATGATACAATTTTCCATTTTTCACATGATTGGATAGTGAACATTCAGACTTTTTTTTTTTTTTTTTTTTACCAGACCCTTTTGCATGCTTATACCACTAGCCCCTTTTGTTCAGTTCCCCCCTAGAAGACTTCTATGGGGCCGTCTGCTGAGTGCTTCTTACACTGCAGTAATAGCCCTTGGGGAGCAACTGGGCAAGTGACGCAAGTAGATTTTGACCACCAGGTTGTAAAGTTTGCAGCAGGCCATTGCGGCTTTGAGCTTAAGTCCCGCATCTGGAGTGGGACATAATGGTACATTTTATGAAACTTCATTTATCCTTTTAAGAACTGGTAGGAGAAAACCAATCGCAGGATAATTCCATTAAAGCGTATAGTATAACTAAACTTTACTGGGTAACACATCTTGGACTGCTTTCTGCATTTTTTTTGAGTAAGGCACTAGCTTTCTTGATATAAAAACTGATGTATTTGCATGTGGAGCAGAACTTTAAAGCACAGTCACAGTGCAGTAGGAAGCAAAGCCTGCAAATGTAATAAGCAAATATGACAGCCATTTGTACATATAACTCTAAGTGACCATTGGCACACCTTATTAAAACTGGTCCTATGCACCTCCAGAGCAAATAAAATATGCTTTAAAAAAGACAATCGAGTCTTATTTTTATCCCCCCAAGCTTTTAAAAAATGTTTGAAGCCTCTGTTAGGTTTTTGTTACCTATATCTCTTTTCGGGGAGATTGTCACTTGCTGTTAGGGCACAGACAAAAACCTATGTTAAGAAGGTTTCACAAGGGTAAGAAGTGCTGGAAATGATTTTGATGCTATCTGCACCTTCTTTGTCAATGGTCCACTCTCCACCTATCCCTCTGGTCCTGGTGTCAGAGGCAGGAAGTAAGTGACATTCTCCTTGTGGAGTCAGACATCCCCCAGCCTGTAATGTAAAAAGCTGTGCCTGGGGTTAGGCTTTAATTGGATGGATTACCTTATTTGACTTTGTTACATCTAACTATAGTTTTTCTAGTCAACAAATATTTCCACGATTTCATGACTTTAATATTTCCCCCCCCCCCCCCAGCAACAGGAGTACCCCGCAGTGTAGCAGAAGTGTACAATCGAGCATCAAAGCTATACGATTTGTCTGGCAATAAGGGACGGTAAGTAATTGCATTGAGTAACAAGCAAGCAAGTAGTATTATTTTGCCTGAATGAATTCTGAAGAATGTTTTCACCTGTCCCAACATTGGCTATTAAGTTCAGTTCACTGCACATGTATGAACAGAGTATACTAGTAGAAGTGTGTGCTTTTAGTGGGTATAGAACTTTTCCTTACTGCTATTATGAGTGTGTGCTTCCTCATAGATATTGTTTTCCTTGTGCAAAGATGTATTTAAATGTCCACAGAGCAGAATAAAAACTTTTTTTTTCTTCTGGGTGCTTGTGCCTCTGCAGACAAGGGACTGACACCACAGAGTTCCATCTACAAACAAGGCAGCCTGTAATAGAAGTGGCAGTATACTTATATTTATTAGAGCCCGCAAAAAGCCGCCACTTTACACATTTCTAGGTGTGTAGAATATGTGCTCTTCCCTGCAGAAGGCTCTGCTTCCTCCTGTTTGCTTGTAAGTGACTACAGGACATATGAGCCAGCAGGAGGCACTGCAATGTGTGGTAGGGGTAGGTAATCTAAACACCTAGAAGTTTGAGCTGCAAGGGCACTGACGAACGCTCTCATATTTCATTCACAAGCCCTACAGCCCTTATAAAGGTACAGGGAGGTAGCTGCAAGACTTTTCTGCAGAAATCTTGCGGTGCATCGGTTCTTTATTCACATCGAGTTGAGTGGGGAGTCATCCTAGGGGCATTGACTGCCATTGCAGTCTGTTGAAATCCTGAAACGGGAAGTTTCGCCCACACATCAGTCCAGTTTCCTGAAGAACACCAGTGAAGGTCTGCTTCCTCCCTTTGATACACATATGCCTGTAAGTTATTTAATTGTGTTTGCCATAGTCACACACATAGCTAGATCGCATTTAAATGCATTTAATGTGATTTTGTAGCGGTTTGCAAGAAATGTGTTCATTGTATGCATTTGTGAGAGACCTGTTTACAAGTATATTGTAATTTCAGTCTACGTGATTGTATTGCAGTTTTACAGAACGTATTCACAGAAGTAAATTAGTTTTGGAATGAAACACAAAGCTGCTTTTGTCTGTTTTGTTAGCCAGCTGTTGGCTAACCATTAGTAGGACAGCATAGCACCCCTTATCCACTGGTCACGGGTGCAATGCTTTCCAAGCTCCTGCAGGAAAAAAATAAATGCGCATTTCTTTTCCTAGCAAAAATATGTGCATTTATTATTTTTCCTAAAAATGTGAACTTTAGCTGTGGATGAAGGCCCCAGAATTCTTGCTCTCATTCTGACATTTGCGACCTTATGTAACGCTGCATGCATTTATCTTCATATATAATTTATGTGTATACGTTCAGGCAGGGGACATATTTTTTTTTCAAAATATTTTATTTTACAGCTGACTTTATTGCTATCGCATATGGTGCCAGCAGACCCCAGGTTATGGTGTACTGTAATGGCAGGTTCTCTTCATTGAGATCTAGACCCCTGATGCATCCCCTGCCTTCCAATGATGCTAATAGAGCACAGCCACAGTGGGTTTGGAAAGTGACAGCCAAACCAAGAAGTGACGTAATGCACGTTGCTTTCATGTTCATTCACCAGAGGGGAGGGAGATCAGCAAACGGATATTCACTGGACTCCCTCAGTCCAAGTGACACCTGCAATGCCGGTCCTAGATCTGCAGGTGGGAGTTTGATTATTATCCCAGCCAGTGCAGGTTTATAGATGATGGTGGTAGGCAAGTTGTTAGTCTTTCAAGGCTGAAGAGACAGATCTGTGAGACTGGGCAGAAAAGTGGTTGCTGAGATAACCTGTAAATCTACATGTCTGCTGGAACTGGGACACCTTGGTATTTGGGCAGTCTCTGAATGCTGTGCTGATTCAGCGACCAGATCGAAAAAAAAAATCTTAAATGATTTCTGCAATGAAAAGCACCAACTTGTCTCTTTGCCAGTCTTTACTCTCTGAAAGCTAAGCTTGCTGTAGAATCTTCAGCATTTGACACACTTTTTCCCTTCGAGAAATTAAGGGCTTTCCAGATCTGCATCATTTTTCCAAGTGAAAGAGTGTATTAAAAAAACAGGGAGAGATTTACTAAAACTTGTGCAGCTGTGCATGGAAGCCAATCCGCTTCTAACTTCAGCTTGTTCAATTCAGCTTTGACAGTAAAACCTGGAAGCCAATTGGTTTCTATGCAGAGCTGCACCAGATTTTCCACTCTCCAGTTTTAGTAAATAACCTCCAAATTACAGTCGGGCAACTAACATTTTCAGAAGGAAGTCTGTGCCATTGCACCTGATTTTATGAAATTCAAGGAATAGCCAGAAGTCTTTTTTTTTTTTTTTTTTTTTTTTAACAGCCAAGGAAGTTACTATCTTAGCTTCTGTTTTGTCCTGTTGGCCACTGTTGTGTTTTTTTTTTTTTTTTTTTTTTTTACAGTTTTACAAAAGAAGACGTAGAAAAATTGAAGAAAGGGGTGGCCAAACATGGGAACGATTGGATTACCATCGGAAAATTAATTGGCCGAAACAATAAATACACTCAGTTAAAAGCCTCACAGCTCAGGCATGGTAAGCATTGTTCATGAGTATATAACTTTTTCTATTATTGTAGGCTTGCTGTAGGTAAAATGGTAACATGCATTACAAAAATTGCAGAGGGTTGAGATTATAGCCAGCGAAATGTGGTTCACCCTATTAGGGACAATGTTTGTATGTGATTCCACAACTGTTTTTACCGATCAAGTTTTGATTTTTATAGTTTTGGAGAGACCAGGGAAAGGTTAAAAGGACACTGTTAATACACAAATTAATCTTATTTCTTCAAAGGTCATTGCCATTTGATTTTTGCAGTCTTCAAGAGCTAAGCTTGGTAAAAATTCTTTAGCATTTACATTTTTAGGATTATCAGATGATGCCCTCTGTGGTGCCTTCCGCAGGTCCTTACATCACTACAGGTCATGTCTGGTGGTTGGAACTACAGAGTGCAACGAGAGGCCAGGCATATGAACCCATCTCAAGTCAGTGGTTTGTGTTGCTTTCAGGAATTTTTCCTTACATTCAGAGACAGGAAGTTGAGTGGAAATCTTTCTAAAGTCTCCTAGATTGTAAGCTCGAAAGAGCAGGGCCCTCGATCCCCTCATGTTTTGCATTGTATTGGTATTGTTCTGTCACATGTTCTGTCTCCCTTTGTAATGTACAGCGCCGAGCGAATCTTTCTGTATAATAATAATATAATAATAATAAAGTGAGTGAACCCCCTTAAATCTAGGTTCACATCTGTATGTTTGCTGCAGGATGTGTTTGCACAGGTATAGCAGCCCTTTTATTTGAATGTGCTGCGGTACTTGCGGGAAACGCAGTACCTGGAGCTGCACAGAAACAGCATGGTGCTTTGGCACCATTCAGTTCTGCATGTGTCTGCAGAAGAGAACGCACCACATTTTCTAATGCATGGGGGCGCCATTAGCAATGAATGGCACCCACCTGCATCTCCTAAACAGAAGCATGTTTTAGCTGCGGGTGCCTGGGGGTTCAGGAACTTGTGCAATTTACATGCATTCTTGCACTAATAGTGTGAACCTAACTTTAGACTGTTGTAACTGGAATAAACAGGTGTCCCCATTGGAATATTTCTCTCACCTTGTTCTGGTGATAGCTGTAAAATGTTGGTTTTTCCCATCACGGCAGGACAAACTAGTAGGGAAGCAGGCCGTAATGAAAACTTGACAGATGTTCTAACTCTTTCACACTTTCCAAAACAAAACAAAAAAAAAGGTTTGTCTTTACATAAACTTAAGGACTGCTGTGGACAAACTCCACACTAATAAATGATAAATGTTTCACTAGGGACATCTATTGGGGTCCAAAAGGGGAATTTCCCTCCCTTTGTAGATGTATGGTATCACTTTCTGTTGTCTTCAGGAAGGGAAGAGAAATCTCTACAATGGGACATAAACAGCGTAAATTAAACCAACAGGGATTTTAACCCTTCCCTGTTTTATCCAAAACTAAAATAAAATGTGGTTGTACATACTTTCAATACAATAGTCTCTTTTGATTAGAAGTTCCATTAAAGCAGAGTTCACTTCAGATACATTTGAGAGTGCAAGATGACGCTGTTTATAATTCTTGATACCTGTGCAGTCTCTGAATTTACGACTGTGTACACACCTTGCCCAAACAGCTTCTCTGCTGCTCTCACTCTTGGCAGGCAGAAAAATCTCATCACAGCTGCACAGCTCATTCTCTGTCTACTGGTCTTTACTCTGTCCAGCCAGTGTAAAAATGCATTACACATGCACACACAGTTCAGGACCTCTGCTTCTTCTTAAAATGGTGATAAACGCCACCAAAATAAAATTTAAAAATGACCCAGCTGCAGGTATTGCTATAGTGCTAGTATGCACCACATACTAGCATATTGTGGCAGACTTAAATGGCAAATGATGCCCTCCAGTGATGCTCTGTCACCCCTCTTGCTGGTCCTGGGCACTTCCATCTTTGCCTGGTCTTGAATGGCCAGGCTGCAATTTAATTTACTCCCATGCGCACAAGAGCAGTTCAATAAAGGGCCAACAACACTGCAAACCCAAGGGAGTGGATACAGATAGAAAAACAAAGCAGGAGTCATTACTGTGGACACGCAAGAGCAGAGTATGCTCAACAGTCCAGGGAAGCATGACAACAAACAGAATTTGCAACTTAGGCAGGGTCAAGTTGGTTCTGCCAGGCATTCGCAGCTTCTGGGTCTTTAAAGAAATGAACATGATCCTCAGCCACCACACGAAGATGGAATGGATAAAGCATGGCGTATTTGAGATGGCGGACTCTGAGACAACGTTTGATCTTGGTGAACCCATTGTGCTGCTCTTTGACCTCAGTGGAATAATCTGGAATCGCCTACAGCCTTTGTCTTGAGGTAGGGGATGTTTCCCTTTTCCCTGAATAAGCAAAGTATACTATCCCGATCAATTTGACAATGAAGGTTTAGGCTGCTTTAAAAACTGATCTGCCGCAAAAACACAGTAAAAAGGCGTAGGTGTTTTTGCCACGCTTTCTGAGCATTTTTAAAGGGCACGTGACTTAAAAACTGCTCCAAAAACGCTTCCCAGAGGCGGTTTTGAGGCACGTTTCAGGCTTTTTCCATTGATTTCAATGGGAAGAAGTGTTTCTGGTGTGTTTTTTTTTTTTTTTTTTTTTTTTTTTTTTTACTTTCCAAACATGCCCCAAAGATGCTGCCAGCAGGAGTTTTTACACCATACCGCAAGCACACCGTGTGAAAACATACATAAATGTACATTCACATACATAGGGAAGCGTTTTTCTTGAGCTTTACAGGCACTTTTTTAACACAAAAAATGCTTCAAAAACTCCTCCGTGTGAAAGTAGCCTTAGGGAGGTGCAGCTTACGGGGGTGGTTTTGCCACCATACGTTGTACCTGCTCCACCACAAAGGATGAAGAGAAGGCATCCAGGCCAAGTGGTAATGAGCAGCTCCTTTAGGAAAGTAACCAGGTGGACGCCCTCTGCCCCCTTAGGCCGATGAAACAAAGGTTAATGCACCTCATTCTATTCTCCAGGTCGTTCTGAGCAGCTACGCCACCAGCTATCCCAACTCCAGCAGAAGTGTTTTGCAGCAGGGGTAGGGCATCCTGCACGCAGCCCATATGATGCTCTGCTCGGAGACTCTATCCCAGAGCTTTGGGAGGCATTGCCTAATCGGAGAAATGTCAACTTTGACTTCTTCAATCTTTATAAGAATCACCTGAAAAGCCGAGATGGCTCCAAGCGCTTTGCAATGCCGGCCACGGCCTGGTCAGCAGAGGAGTCGTCGCCATCTTCCCCCTGCTGGTCTCTGTCTTGGTGCCAAAAATTGCCCAGCTTGGTGCCAGCTTTCGATGGCTTGCAAGGAGGAGGCATAGTCGCCAGTGCAGGGATCTTCAGGAGTAGATTGGGTCAGTTGAGGAGCAAAATAGGGCTACATGTTCAAAGGATTAATCTCTCATGGAACTCAGGTCACCCACATCCTACTCCATGCTGCTTCAGGCCAAGCCACCAAGATTTGGCTTTAGTACCGCTTTAAGCTGGCCCTAGATTAATTTAAATTTGGCCAGTTCAATAGGAACTGGTCAAACTTTCGATCAGTGTGTTGCCCTCGCTGTTCGATAAAAGTCCGTCAGAAGGATTTCTGTTAAATGGACAAGTTGGAAAATTGTTCCCAATCAGTGGCAGCAGCTGCTGATCAGTACATTTTTGCAGCAGTTGTATGCACTGTCAGAATACAGTATCCTGGCTGAGGGGGTCCTCCATCCACCTTGCTTGTGTGGATGAAGGAATCTGGCTAAACGAAGAGAAAAAATTTCTGTGACCAACCTTTATCTATCAGACTTTTATGTAGAAAGCAGTGATCACTGGGGGGAGAGAACTGAGGAATGCTCCCTAAAATAAATGAATAAATTAAAAAAAATAACCAGTTAATCGGCAGTTTCATTTATCCTAGCATGTTCCTCTCAGGCAGACTTTGAGAGATTAGTCATAGACTTTTGACTGAAGTTCAAGGTACAGTTTTATTCAGTTATTTTGCTGTATATTGTGACACATTGCAGTAAACTAACTTCTGACATTGATAAGAATCTTGGGTAGTATTGCATAGTTGGCGGCTCTGCCAGAAATCTGTTTCTCCTCTTGTCCTGAGATGACCAAGTTATACCTTGACATTTGCTCGCATGACTGGTTTTAAATGGAGTCTATAGTGATGTTTTTTGCTGAGAGAGACAAGTATTTAAGCCATGGGGTGGGGATGATCAGGAAGGATAGAAGTGTTCTAGGATGAAGGAAATCAAAAGCAAGGGGTTGTAGGATAATTTAGTAAAAATGTTTTTACTTTGTAGTGGTCACTGGGGGAAAGTGGAGCAATGAGGAGGTAAACAGACTTATTCAGGCTGTGAAGATCTTTATTCTGAGCTCACTAAAGCGCAAGGACGGGAAGGACTTCTCCAAGAAGGAACCAAAGAAAATCCGTAAGGAAATGCTGTTCACGGGTATTCCCTGGCGCAGAGTAGAGGAGATGGTGCAGACAAGGAACTGGACACACTGCAAATCAAAGTGGTAAGCATGTTATATTTTAAATGGTACTGCCACCATCTGTCTCCTAAGACTCTTTATTGGTCCTTTCAGGTGTTATGTGGCCCTACTGACCAATACAGAGGCTTAAAGGGTGGAAAGTTGCCTAAATTAGCTTTTACAGGGAAATTCAAGACTTTATTTCAGCTGCCTATGTTTTTGGATTTATTTATGACATTGATCTGGGTTTTTCCTGAAAGATGGCCTCTACCTAATGGAGTTTTAATTATATACAGAGTCTAAATTGACCAGATTGGTGACAAATCTTGCCAATGCCAGGGAATTGGGTTCACTTTTGCACCAGACCTACTAACAGCTCATACTCTCCTTCACCATCAGAAGGAATGAGAAATACCCAGTAGTCCAGTAGTAATAGAGTTTTGGACCCCCTCTCTTTCCTGCTGGTGCTGGGCAGTTGGCCATTCAGGCCCTCAAACCTGTGTAATCTCCAGTTAGGGTCAACTTTTCGATATATGAATTATCCACAAGAGGCAGTAGTATCAACGCAAAGCAAGATATAGAGTATCCGCTTGCCGACCGCATAACAGTATTATACGGCGGCAGAGCAGCTCTCCTGTGCTGAATCATGTACCTAGTACGTGATCCAGCTCTACTGGGTAGGTGGTGCACGCACCTGCTGACCCGGCTGTACTGTGATTTGTTACAGCACAAGCCATTTTGTGGGTCTTGCCCAATGATTGAGCACCTAGACCCGTTTTAGTGGCTCAGTGATTTATGGACAGAGCTCTGTGATGGTAAATGTCACAGAGCTCTGTATAGGTGACAGGTGATCTTTTTTTCATCCCCTGCTAAGCAGGGGGGAAAAAAAACACAAGATCCCTTAGTAAAATCAGCACATACATTAACACTTTCTAGGCACACAGTTACCTGATCCTACCCAGTGTCACTAGTACAGTGTCAATGCATAATATTAGCACTGAGCACTGTATTGGTGTCAGTGGCAACTCTCAGTGCCAGTGCCTGCCACACTATCACAGTGCTGCTAGAAGTCGCTGATTGCCACCATTACTAGTGAAAAATAAACAATTACAAATTCCAGTGTATATATACCATCATTTGTAGATGCTATAACTTTCATGCAAACCAATTAACCGCTTCCTGAACTGACTGCCCTATAGCAGAAGTACTGCTACAGGGTGGCAGGGATGCGTAAAATCACGTGTGTGTTTGTGTGTGAGATTTTATATTTCCGGGTAGGAAGCACGCTCCCTAACACGCCGCTATTGGCTCCTTGGCCGGGACTCGGTGATTGTCGGCGGAGCTGACGGGAGAGGTCTGTATTAAAACAATACAGATTTCTCCCTTGTCAGCAGGAACAGGCTGCTTTGTATTGCTCTGCACCGCAGAGCACAAAAAGCAGCTTGTTTCCCTATCAAAACGCACACAGTTAACCCTTTGATCGCCCCAGATGTTAACCCTTTCCTGCCCAGCGCCATTAGTACAGTGTCAGCGTTTTTATTAACACTGATCACTGTATTAGTGTCACTGGGGATGTCGGTGGCAGTAAGTTTTCCCCCAGTGTCAGAATGGTCACTGCAGTCCCACTATAAGTCGCTGATCGCCGCCATTACTAGTAAAAAAAAAAAAAAAATCCACTATATATACTGCCATTTGTAGACGCTATAACGTTCACATAAAATTGTTGGTCTTTTTTTTGTTTATAGAACAAAAAAAAAACGCAAAAGTGATCAAATACCACTGAAAGAAAGCTCTATTTGTGGGAAAATAATGACATAAATTTAATTTTATGTACAATGTTGCATGACCGCGCAATCGCCGTATTGCAAACAATGGCCTGGTCAGGAAGAGGGGTAAAATCCTCTGGTAAAAAAAAAATATTAAGTGTATATTAGCCACTTACTCTTCAAAGACATGTAGCAGAATACACTGGCCTGAATTTATAAAGAATTTTTTTTTTTTTTTAAATTGGATGTTTTATAGCAAAATGTAAACTTTTTTTTTTTATTTTCGGTCTATTTTTTAGTTTATATAATAAACAATAAAAACCCAGAAGTGATCATTTACCACCTAAAGAAAGCTGAATTTGTACAAAAAGAAATAAATTTTTAATTGGATACAGTGTTGCATGACCTCGCAATGGTCAGTTAAAGTAGTGCAATTAAATGGCCTACTTATGAATCGGGCTAAATCTTCTGGAGGGCAAATGGGTATGCTTATGTAATTAGCAAATATGACTGCCTTCTGTACATATATAATTACAAATGATGTGTAGAAACTACATTTTTAAACATTGACACGTATTGATAATATTTACAACAAGCTGATCTTTTATGCCTTGTTCACACTAGTGATTTCAGATGCGATTTAAGTTGCACAGGGTGTAGATATTTGCCAGCACACCACCGATTCAAGTTCGATACAAACCGTTTTTATTGACGTATGATTGCATCCTCTTAGATTGTGACCTCCAAGGAGCAGGGCCCTCCTATCCCTCTTGTATTGAACTGTATTGTTGCTGTATTGTCTCCCGTTATATTGTAAAGCGCTGAGCAAACTGTTGGCGCTATATAAATCCTGTATAATAATATTAATAACAAACGAGAGTACAATGTTTTGGGGTCACACAGAACCCTTTCGTCAGACATATGAATTGCACGGAATCACAGGACAATGGAAATCAGTGTGTTTCAATGGTACCCGTTCACATCAACGCATCGCAACACAGCTTGATTTTTTAAAAAGGGTCCTGTACTACTTTGGGTGTGATTCCAGCATGATTTTGGCCCCATAGACTATACAAATCCAAATTGCACCCAAGTTGAACTACACAATTGCAGTGAAAATCAGATCAAAATCAGATTGTAGTAGTTTGAACCTAGGGAATCCATCAGCTGGTCTGGCAATGGGTTAGTTCACTTTGCACTGCACCGTGATTGTTTTAAAGGGCAATGTTTTATACAGAATTCACATTGTTTTTTTAGAATTCTGCAGGTTTATTAAAACCCCAAAAACTATTTACATAGAAAACTGTGCTTTTTCTTTTTTTGTTTTTATTGTAGGAATGATGTTCTGCTAGTGCGAATGAATGATGGTATTCGCAATTGTGCACGACTTTGTGGCTTACAGACCAACATAGAAATTATCAAATGGTAAGTATGAGAATAATCTAGTCCTAGTGTTCCTTATGTTTAAATTTTTTTATTTTTTTATGAACACCTTCTGAGTGACTTATGATTCTTAAATAGTTGGGAAGGTGTTGGTGGGGTTACCTAGACATGCGTAAACCTGCATTTCCCAAACCATGTCATGGATGAATCCTAGCCTGTTTTGACTGGAAAAGCTTCCATAAAAATCATCATTTTTTTGCTAGAAGGTTACTCAGGACTCCCAAAAATATATATATGTGTGTGTGTGTGTGTGTGTGTGTATATATGCATATATATATATATATATATATATATATATATATATATACACATAGAAAAGCAACAGCAGAAAAAGACTAAGTCTGCATTTTTATATTTTTTTGGTTTGTTTTAGTTTTTGTTTTTTTCATTTATTGTCTCAGTATAGATCTATGTATGTCTCATGCATTTTTGAAGCTATTTTACTGTTGACTGGCTCACTACCTCTGCTGGAAGTTTATTCCAAGCATCAACTACTCTTTCAGTAAAATAAACTAAACTGGAGGAAAGTTGAAAACTAATCTCAGAAAGTACTAAGGTCATGTCCCCGTGTTCTTGATTTTAGTTTCATGTTTAAAATACTGTCCTCCTGAACCTTATTCACCAATTGATTTGTTTAAAGGGTTTCAGTCATGTCTCCTCTTTCCCTTCTTTCCTTCAGACTGTACATGTTAAGTTCCTGAAATTGCTCTTGATATATTTTATCCCCCAGACCTTTCACTATTTTGCCCATCTCTGGACTCATTCTATCTTCTCAATATTTTTTTGTAAGTGAGGTCTCCAGAACTGGACACAATATTCTAAATGAGGTCTCACTAAAGAAGCATGGTACCGTGATGGGTTACCACCAGTGCAATAAGTCCATCCGTGAAATTTACTTGCTACTAAATATTCCACGGTCAACTGTTAGTGGTATTATAACAAAGTGGAAGCAACTGGGAACAACAGCCACTCAGCCACCAAGTGGTAGGCCACGTAAAATGACAGAGCGGGGTCAGCGCATGCTGAAGCGCACAGTGTGCAGAAGTCGCCAACTATCTGCAGAGTCAATAGCTAAAGACCTCCAAACTTCATGTGGCCTTCAGATCCGCACAACAACAGTGTGTAGAGAGTTCATGGAATGGGTTTCCATGGCCGAGCAGCTGCATGCAAACCTTACATCAACAAGTGCAATGCAAAACGTCGGATGCAGTGGTGTAAAGCACACCACCACTGGACTCTAGAGCAGTGCAGACGTGTTTTCTGGAGTGACGAATCATGCTTCTCTGTCTGGCAATCCGATGGACGTGTCTGGGTTTGACGGTTGTCAGGAGAACGGTACTTGCCTGACTGCATTGTGCCAAGTGTAAAGTTTGGTGGAGGGGGGATTATGGTGTGAGGTTGTTTTCAGGGGTTGGGCCCCTTAGTTCCAGTGAAGGGAACTCTTAAGGGCATCAGTATACCAAGACATTTTGGACAATTTCATGCTCCCAAAATTATGGGAACAGTTTGGGGATGGCCTCTTCCTGTTCTAACATGACTGCACACCAGTGCACAAAGCAAGGTCCATAAAGAAATGAATGAGCAAGTTTGGGTGGAGGAACTTGACTGGCCTGCACAGAGTCCTGACCTCAACCCGATAGAACACATTTGGGATGAATTAGAGCGGAGACTGCGAGCCAGGCCTTCTCATCCGACATCAGTACCTGACCTCACAAATGCACTTCTGGAAGAATGGTCAGACATTCCCATAGACACAGTCCTAAACCTTGTGAACAGCCTTCCCAGAAGAGTTAAAGCTGTTATAGCTGTAAAGGGTGGGCCAACTCAATATTGAACTCTACGGACTAAGATTGGATGCCATTAAAGTTTGTGTGCATTAGTGATGCACTGAAATTCCGGTGGCATAAACCCTTCAGCCGAAAACACTCCTTTCGGCTATCAGCCGAAATGAAAAAAAGCACCTATACAGGTGCCGAAAAAACCCTGCCCCTCAAAGCTGCCCACCCCTCGCCGCCACCGCTCGGTAATTCAGTCTTACCTGAGAAACCATCGATCCCGGCACTGGGCTTAGAGATGGGTGAAGGAAAGATGGCCCAACAACACCCCTGGCACTGGGCTTAGAGATGGGTGAAGGAAAGATGGCCAACACACATCTCTATGCCCTTGGAGGACCGGAGCGATGTCACTTCTGGTTCCGACCATATTTGTTTATTTATTTATTTATTTTTTTTAAGCACTAGATCAGTGCTTTTTTGATCCAATGCTTTACATTGCAGAGGAGGGATATGGGGTCTTATTGACCCCATATCTCTCCATGAAGAGGACCTGTCACTAATTATTCATATCACAAGGGATGCATGCATTTCTTGTGATAAGAATAAAAGTGATTAATTTTTTTTTTTGCACTGTTCCTTTTAAAAAAAAAAATTGTACATATATTTTTTAAAAAAAGTTTAAAGTACCCCGCCCCCCTGTGCGCACTTAGTGGTGAACGCATACGTAGGCCATGCCCACATATGTAAATAGTGTTGAAAGCACACATGTGAGGTATCACCACGAATGTCGGAGCAAGAGCAGTAATTCTCACACTAGACCTCCTCTGTAACTTTACACTGCTAACCTACAGAAATTTTTTAAGCATCACCCATGGAGATTAAGTACCGCAGTATCATGCCATTCCACGAGCGTGCGTAATTTTAAAGCGTAACATGTTGGGTATCTATTTACTCGCCGTAACACCCTCTTACATATTTTACAAAACAATTGGGGTGTGTATATGTATATATTTTTTTTTTTTATCAAAGTGTATTTTTTTCCAAAAAATATATTCATTTTTAAAAACTGTACATTTCGGTTTTCGGCCAAGTGCATTTTGTATTTTCGGTTTTGGCACCAGAATTTCCATTTCGGTGCACCACTAGTGTGCATATAAAGGCAGACATCTCAATATTGTTAGCAATACAGTGTATATATGTTTTTTGTTTTTTTTTTTTTTTTTTTTTTTATTTGTACAGCGACTTTTTCAAAATTTTTTTTGGTAAAAAATTCACTTTAATGATTTTTAATGCAAAAAGATACAATATATATAACCCAATTTTTTGGTAAAATACAAAAGGTGATGTTATGCTGAAAAACTAGATACCTAACGTTGTCATGCTTTACGTGACAAACTCTGATACTGAAAAATCTCCATAGGTGACACTTTAAAAATTTTTACAGGTTACCAGTTTAGAGCTGCAAAGGAGATCTAGCACTAGAATTATTGCTCTCGCTATAATGTTCGTGACGATATTTCACATGAGTGGTACACATACCATTTACATATGTGTGTGCGATCTACGTATGTGTTCACGGGGGTGCTGTAAAAAATGTTTTCCTTTTACACTAAACAAGAAGAAAAAAAAGACAAAACTTTTTTTTATTAAGGAATAAACTGCAAGAACAGCATAATAACAAAGTATAGTATACAACAGGAAAAAGGCACATAAGTAATAATCATCTTAATAAAGTACAATCATGTAAGAAATGTCAAGTACATGAATAAGTTATGCAGGAAGATATGTAGAGTAATAAAACTACCAACGAATGAACAATATCAAGCAAACAATGATGATCCATCAGTTAAACAGTAGATACGGATGAGTTTTCCAACCATTCCACTTTCTGTCAAATAAGTGCATCTACACTGTCCTTTTTTTTTACATTTTTTTTAATCCCTTTTATTTCTATCATAAGAAATGTAATCATCCCTTATGAGAGAAATAAGGCATGACCGGTCTCCTTTATGAAGACATCAGGGATCTATAAAACCCCAGATCTCTCCTCTACTCTGGAAAGCATGAGATTAAAAAAAAAAGTGATCTCATGCTCTCCAAAAAAAATGGCAGTGTTTACATTTGTTAGATGCAGAAGTGACATCATGACATCGCTTCTGGCCTCCCAGGACCATAGAGATGCTCTGATAACCTGGCAGCACTGCCAGATCGGATTAGCCACTTGGATGACTTGTATTGTAGGGAATCACTGGCTTAAAGAAAAAAAGATACTGGGATGATGCTGGTAGGCCGGTGTAACCACTGAAAGCCTAGGACGTCATATGACATACTATGGGTGGAAAGTGGTTAAAGATACATTGGCCACAATTGCTAAAGATAAGAAATGTTTGCAATGGCCCAGTCAGATATAGCCTTTAATATGCCTGATGATATATAGCAATTACTGGCAAGGACCTTAGATCTCAGGAGTCTTCAATCCAGGTAATAACTGCATAGTTCAGCTGGATACTCCCTGGCACCTCCTTTTCTCCCTGAATCTGAGACTTGAGCTAAAGCCCTTTGCCAACGATTGCTAGATCTGGATAATCTGGCTTACTGAAGGCCATCACTCGCCACCTTTGCCATACTTGCAGTACAAACAGCAACTGCCCCAACCTATTACTGGCCTTTGCAGCAAGGAACACATGGAAGGACGACGCATGTCAAACAACAAAGATTCCCAGCTCAACTTACCAATTTATTAGATGCAGGCTGGTTGCTAAGTTGAGCTGGGAATCTTTCTGTTTGACCTTTGCCATACCTAGCCCTGTCTACTCCCACAGCACTACAACTGCTGATACCCTCCCATTGTGAGATGCATGTGAGACACAAATAATGAGTTTGTCTCCGTCAGGGAAGGTAAAGGAAGGTTCTTATTTACTTTTGAGGTTTGTGCAAAACCAGATTTGGCACTTGTTGACTATCATACAGGAGCCTTTAGTGGTACTTTCAGCACTTGACAGGAATATTTGAGAGGCTGGTGCAGGTATGTACACCTTCAGGTGCCTGTATTTCTTACCTGCGGCCCCTCATATGGCGACAGTGTATGTTTAACTTTACTGTACATTGATCCTCTGCATTTTTTTCAAATCGTTGAGAACTGTAGGTGAATAGGATATGCAGGATTAAGCTGGCCATAGATGGATTGAATTTCTGCCAGTTTATCAGGGACTGGACAAATGTTTATCAGTGCGTGGCCAATACAGTTCAAGCAGACAAGCTGGAGAATGTGTCGAGAGTCCTTTCTGGAAGTGAACCACACCCGCAAGATTTAATAGAAGTCTATGGCTCAGTGCAGCTAACCCGCAAGAAAGCTCAGCATAGTGAGGGCTCATTTACATTTAAGGTTTGGGGGGCAGTAAATAAAAAACCATAGTTGAGATGTGTTTTTACTACACACTCCAAACCACTGGTGTAACGTTGGGGGTCTCAATGGTGACACCCCCCACCCCCACCCCATGCTTCAGGGAACACTGTGTGGCCTCCCTGTCACATTTTGTTTTACATTTGGACAGGGGAAACAGTGATGGCAGCACATGCAGGAAAAATGGAGAGTATTGATTCCTGTAACTGTTGAAAGCCGGTTTCTCCTCCTCTCCCCCTCCTACTGGCATTCAGTGACTGCAGGAGGAAAATGTTTATTATGCTATACAAAAAAAAAGAAATTGAAATTCGGAACTATTGTGGCATGTGACCGGTTACTAAATCACGCTGTTCAATTACACTATTTGCACAGTGTCCTCCTCTTTTAAACAAAAGGCAGTTTCTGTCAAGGAGCTGTGCCTGCAGCAAAGTTTTTCAGTTGCTCCTTTTAGTGCTGACATTCATAAAATGCAAGTGACACACAACTCCATAAGCCAAACTGCTATGCTTTGGATTAAACGCCAGACATGACAAAGGGTCAGTCAGGAACTTAAAGGCATTGTACACTTTTCAAATGTTTTAACTAGCTATTAATGTAGTTCAATTCCTTGCAGTGATTGATTGTTTGCCCCACTTTGTTATGGGCTCAAGTTTTTTGTGGCTGTAGTTTGTAGTGTCAAGGCTGATCGATTCTCTTATGTCCAAGTATTGTTTCAGCTAGCTTGTCCTTGAGTGCCAAGGGACAAAACATTTGCTCTTTGTCACATCACAAATGTGGCAGTGCTAATGTGATAGAAAAACCTCTTGCAGCTGCATAGTGAGCTTTCTGTGTCTGTGAATGCTCTGTCTGCATGTGTCTTTGTCAGATCTAATTACTATTTAAACAAATCAAAACAGCTGCACTTTGCTGTAGCTCCTTTTTTTTTTTTTTTTTTTTGTGTAGAAAGTTAGTCCTAATGTGTACTGATTACTTTGTAGCTCTCACCTGCTCCAGCAGTAAAGTAAGGCTACGTTCACACTAGTGTTGTGTGCAGGTGGCAGAGAGGCGTTTGGGAAGCGTTTTTACCGCTTCCCAAATGCCTCTGACAATTCTGCACATTACAGCACATGGTGCTGTTTTAACGGGAGCGTTAGTGTCGCGGCAAAACGGACGCCTCTGGTCGAGTCAGGAGGCGTTGAAGCCTCCTATTCTAGTCTATGGTGTCGCTCCGCAAACGCCCGGCCGGCGTTTGCGACGCGGTTGCGGGGCGTTTGCGGAGCAGTAACACCATTTAAACATTATAGGCGTTTGCGGAGTGTTTTTAACGCTCGTCAAACACCTAGCAAGTGCCGCTAAACCGCGCATGCGGCGTTTGCAGAGCGTTAAATAACACCCCACAAACGCCGGACCAACGCTTGCCAAACGCTATAGGGGCGTTTGGCAAGCGTTGGTAAAACAGTCAAGTGTGAACGAGCCCTAAGAGACCCAGGGGTTGTGGGATATGTACTTTCTTCATAGTGTCAGTTTCATACTACAGACAGAGGTCAAGCATTAACCTTTGCAGTGCCATCCCAAATACCTCATGTTTTTACAGACTGCTGACACAGGAATGTGAAGATTTAGTCTGATATAGGCTGTGCGTACAGGGCAACAAATATATGAAACTACATGATCAATATGTCTTTTTATATGCAGCTTTTTGGACTAGGGAGTTTTGTGTCATTTGCTTCTTTTTAAAGGATGAGTTCACCTTTTAACAAAAATAATAAAATGCATTTTTTTTTTTTTTTTTTGCAGTTAAAGTGTATTTACTGTGTTTTTGTTTTGGGAGGCTGCAAAGTATTGCAGTAGCGATCTGCAGTTTGCTGGTGCCATGCAGGACTCCTGCAGACCTGTCAGTGTATCTGTGTGCCTGCAAATCGTATGGGCAAGCTGGTACTCTGACAGGAAGAATCAATGCACTACCATAGTGCTCCATAGCACCGCGGTCGTTCATTGAGAACTACAAGCTGTTAGCCGCACAGTTTTCCCATTCACAAAATACTGTGAATGAGTGATGAGGCCGAGCGGGAGGAGTCCCGCACTGCCACATTTTTTAAAATGGTGACAGCTAGCAGAAGAAGATCTCCTGCTAGCTAGCAGAAGAAGATCTCTGTAGCTGTCAGAACGGGGGTCAAGCGGGAGCGGGGGGCCGGTCCTTACATATTGAATATGGGTTTAACATGTTCTGAAATGTGAACTTATCCTTTAATGTGAGCAATTGAAGAGCTATTAACCTTTTTGAATATTAGTTTTTGTGTAGGTTTCTTTGGATGGATGTAACCTTTTATGCCAATATGGGTGTGATGGAACCTAAAGTGATGGCATTTTACACATTAGGCCCAGATGTCTTCTCCCAGTATGGCCTCCAACCTTTAGTAAAACAAATCTGCCAGTTCAGTTTTCCTTTTACTGTTTATATACACATTGTGATCTCCATTCATTTCTACTGAAAGTTCATAATTGTGCCAGCTGTGTTCACTTGTCATTTAGGCTCCATGAATACTAGTGTGTGACGTGTGTTTTTTTTTTTTTTTTGTTTAAGTCTTAAAATGCTGGTAATAGCGTTTTTTTAGTAGCATTCAGAAGTGTTTAGGAGCTAGAAAAATGCTGCTAGGAGCAGTTTAGTAGCGTTTAGCGTTTTTATTCTGCTGGAAAAACACTCCAAAAAAACAAAAATGCTGATAATAGCTTCTAGAAGCTTAAAAAAAAGCTAGTGTGCATGGAGCCTAAATCCTCAAATTGTTTTCTAGGCACAACCCGTAAGAACGAGGCACATGCTGTACATTAACTTTCAGAGGGGAAAAACAGGTTGTGACTGTGACAAAATGTGATTTTTTTTTTTTTTTTTTTTTTTTTTTTTTCCTCCTACTTTCATTTGATGGATGCTTGTTCTAGGTCTGTGATGCAAAAATATTGGATCCAAACACTAACTTTCTTGGGAGGCCCATCAATGACGCCTTTCCCTTTTTTTTTTTTTTTCCCCCAAATATATATATACTTAAAGTGTAAGTGCGCATGTATCTGAATGCTGCTGTATGTATTGACAGAGTTGATGCATTTAAGATTTGGTTTACTTTTTGCTGTGCAAGGATAAATACACACTACACTTTTCTGACTGTAGGTTACATGAAGTCAGTCCCGGCAAAGGACAAGTGAATTGGCTGGAAATGTCTAAAGCCATTGGGTAAGTAACGTCTAGTTGTGTACACTTTGTTATGAAAGGCTTTCTAACCAGTTTCCTGCCGCTACTATAGCAGAAATACGGCTGCAGGGCTGCACAAAATCCGGTATATATACTTGGTTTCGCATTTCCAGGTAGGGGGCACGTGCCGTTATTGTCGGCTAGGGATGTCAATCATCGGGTACCGGCCAGAGATTCCCCGCTGGCACCCGGCAATTGTTTGGGAGAGACCTGTGTATAAACAACACAGGTCTCTCTCATGTCGGCAAGGGCATGCTGCTTTGTATTACTCTGCACAGCAGAGAAATACAAAACAGCATGTCTTAGTAGTAAAACACAACCCAGCACCCATAGTAAAACAGCACACAGTTAACCATTAGATCGCCCAAAAGTTAACCCCTTCCTGTCCAGTGTCATTGGTACCATGTCAGTGTCCTGTTTCTTTTTAGCACTGTTTACTGTATTGGTGTCACTGGGGATGTCAGTGGCCATTAGTTAGTTCCCACCCAGTGTCAGAATGCCCGCCGCAGTCCCGCTATAAGTCACTGATCGCTGCCATTACTAGTATAAAAAAAAAAAGAAAATCCTGTATATATACCACCATTTGTAGATGCTATAACTTTCATGTAAACCAATTTAATTTCCATGCGTTTTTTATAGCAGACATGTAGCAGAATACATTTTGGCCTAAAGTTTGACTAAATTTGATTTTTGAAATTTTTTTTATTGGATGTTTTATAGCAAAAAGTCACAAATATTTTGGGTTTTTTTCAAAATTGTTGGTATTTTTTGTTTATAGAGCAAAAAATAATACCGCAGAGGTGACGAGATACCACCGTAAGAAAGCTCTATTTGTGGGTGAAAAAAGGATATAATTTTCATTTTTTGTACAGCATTGCATGACCTTACAATTGTCCGTTAAAGTAAGGTCAGGAAGGGGGTAAGTCCTCTGGAGGGCTAGTGGTTAAAGCATACCCTACGGGCAAGTAGGATGATGTAAGACAGGATGAGGAAATCCTACATTTTTGTATTTTATAGCCTTTCTTCCCCCTTACTGGATTTGAACACACTCTTGATGTATCCTTGACTAATGTCAATTGACAGTAGAGGGAAGATGTAGGCAACTTAGTTTGCAGTTCCACACAGAATGCTCACATACCTAGCATTCTTCATCTGTCATTTCATCTGAAAGGTTAAAATACTTTGAACCATTTTAGGTAGAAGGGGCAAGGAGATTGTGACGGGAGTCACTTTGGGTGGGGGCCTATGGAACCCAGCTCACTTTAGAGAGGTGGGTAGACCCCTGTCACAGCTCCCCATATTCCTATTATGTGTAAGTCACCCTGTGCCTGTTAGGGGTACAGGGTGATCCTAATATTGGGGTGGGGGGTTGTTGATTGTTTAATGCCATGTGTTTGCATCCCATTGTTCTATTGTGTGTCTTGCTTGGGAGCAAACTATTATGGGATGTATTTGTTTGTGTATTAGCTTAGTGGGGGGTGTCTCCAGCAGCCCTCCCTCTTGATGGGACTGTCTGCTGGTGTGAAGTTTGAATACCTGTGTGTCTCTTGTTGCTAAGTGTAGATTGCCCCGCCCTGTGTCGTCATGCAGGCAGGGGGGACTGTCCCCTTAGTGTATAAAAAGCCAGTTAGAGTTTCAAATAAAGAGTTCCATGTTCAGACAGATTGGTGTTGTCTAGTCATTGTTTAGTCGGCTGTGGTGTCTGTTGTCGGTGTTCGGACGGGGAAGCGGTATTATAACGGAAGTACCCAAGCGCAGTCTGGGGTCGGTTCCGTTACATAGATATTGCTTTTTTCAATGTCTTAGTTTGATATGGAAGAGTATATTAATTTTCTGTATTTATTTAGTCTCCTTTCTATAATGCTCATATACATGATTGGCCTATCTTCCCAGGTATTCTTAAACCTTCTGATAATGATTTTAGGTTGTGGGAAAAAAAAAAGCATTTGTGGACAAATAAGTACAGTTTTGCCTCTCCTTCATATGCTGCTCTCCCTGTCTTGTTCCACTAAGCTTGCCATACTCTTGCAGCTTGTTGGAACAGTTAATTTGCTTATTGCTATGTAGGAACGCAGCATAAGCCACGTGTTTGTACAACTTATTGTTGTGTTAAAAAAAGACGCTTGCACTTCAACTTAGAAAAAAAAATTCTAAAGCTGCAGTTGAACCAGAGGAAGCAAAAATCTAAAAAAAAAAAAAAAAAAAAAAAAAAAAAAGCAAAATCAAGTGTAACTTAAGGCAAAAAAAGTTTTTTTACTTTTGGATAGAGTGGAGAGGAATTAGAACACCTGTCAGTTTTTATTGCACTCTCTGCCCCTGTTATGGAGAAAGGTAATAGAGAGGAAATGTTTCCATGGGGACACTAGTTCTGGTGACCTTGGGATCCCCAAGGAATTCCTTTTATTTGCAGAGCTTTTCTCACTTCCGGTTTGGCTTTGGGGCAGGAAGTGAAGGTATATCTACCCATTGGCACACATATAGCAAAAAATAAAACTGTTATAACCCTCCCTTACTTTCTCCAAAATGAAAACAAAAAAAGTTTTGCCTATAGTTCTACTTTAATAATACATTATGGGGCACAGGGTGAGTATTCTGGTACATTGGGTTATGCTGCTGCTTCAGTAGAGGACACTGGTAAAACAAGCTGGAAGGACTGCCTTTTTTCTGCAGATACAAGTCTATTTTTTTTCTTAGCCATTAACAAGTGCCTATTCATGAGATTAAAGCTTTGCCAGCAGGTCTCCCTGCATGCTTTTTTTTACCTTTTTGCCTTCACTTGTAGACTGTTTATAGTGAGAGAGACATTTAGAAGGTCTACTCCCCTGTTTGAGAGACCCTGATCTATTAACTGTGAGAGTAAAGGCATTGTATACACACTATACAGCATACAGATTTAGAATGGCACATTTCTAAGATGCTGACGTATTGAAGGGGAGCAGGATACCCAAGCAACTAGCATTAGCAGAATGTTTTTCAGGAAAATTGTCTTTACATTTAAAGTGGTTGTGAACCTTCACATATACCCAGTGAAGTGACTAGTCTCAGGTGATACAGAGATGAAACTAACCTTCCTACATTAGTTGTACCTGTTTATCTACAAGCATATGTCCCCTACATCCATTAAAAGTGCAAACTTTTTACAGGATCTCTCAGCTCTGAAAAGCAGGGGGCAGGGAGCTTATGTTACACTCAGTGATGAGAGCTCTAAAAGCTGATTGGAAGGAAGGGACTCCCCTCCACATAGCTCAGAGGAACAGATCTGAGGCTGTCAATCTGCTGGAGATCGCTCCCCATCACCTTTTTTTTCTCTTGGTGTCAGGAAAACCTATCAGAAGTGACTCGTGCTAATATCATAGAAAGGAGGCAGCAGAGAGAAGTTACACTTGGGGTTCTGGATTAATACAAGTGTACACACTATAGAGGAAATGCTTTGTTCATATTTCATGTCTGAGGTTCACAGCCAGTTCAATAGAATTCCAGAATTCTGACCTGATCAGGTGCCTGCATATGCTTTAGTTTTCTCTTTCTAAAGTCTGAATCCTGGAAAGCTGTAATGAACAAATTTCCACTTTTTTTGGTACAATCAAGTGTTTGCCCACTCCAACCCCAGCTACTTCGTATTCACATTTGCCCAAAAATGCTATCCTAGTGATATCTCAGTTTGAAGGTGTAGGAGTTGCAGAGAGGAGGGAAAGTTGTTGATCTGCAAGTAAGTGCTGAAATGTGTATTTTGGCATACTAAATCGAAAACCAAATAAGATTTTTGGCAAGGTTTGGACTTTTACCACTTAAAGTGGAACTTCAGGTAAAATTAAATGCTACCTACCTGCTTTTCCATCCCTGTACAGTGAGCCACGCAGGCTATGCCGAATTTGACGGAACTCCTAGCATGTGTGGGAGTGACGTCCTTGCCACCTGGCCAATGACAGTGGCTGGTGTTCGGGACTTGGAAGCCGGCCACCCGAAGAGGTCAGTGACCAGTTGGGGAGCTCTGGGACAGTGCATCGCAGGATTGGAGGGGAGTATAGTTCTGCTTTGTAGTTCTGACCAGGCCTCTTTTATGCTATGCGGCACAGCTCTACTTTGTCTGGCAATTGTGCGGTCATGCAACGTTGTCCCCAAATTAAATTTGGTATCCTTTTTTTCACAGAAACAGAGCTTTTTTTTTTTTTTTTTTTTTAGTGGTATTTGATCACCTCTGGCTTTTTTTATTACATGAATGGAAAGACCAAAAATTAATATAAAATGTTCTGTTCTAAAACATATCCAATTAAAAACAAAATCTAATTTCTTCATAAATTGAGGTAAAAATTTCTTTGGGGGGGGGAAAAAAAATCCCAAAAAGTGTATATTTAGATTTTGTGAAAGTTATAGCGTCTACAATTTTTGGTGTGTGTGTAATGTAATATATATATATATATATATATATATATATATATATATATATATATATATATATATATATTATTGCCAAAGTTATTGGGACACCCCTCCAAATAATTGGATTCAGGTGTTCCAAACACCTCCATGGACACAGGTGTATAAAATCAAGCACCAAGACATGCAGACTGCTTCTACAAACATTTGTGAAAGAATGGGTCGCTTTTAGGAGCTCAGTGAATTCAAGCGTGGTACCGTGATAGGTTAACACCTGTACAATAAGTCCATCCGTGAAATTTCCTTGCTACTAAATATTCCACGGTCAATTGTTTAGTGGTATTATAACAAAGTGGAAACAACTGGGAACAACAGCAACTCAGCCATGAAGTGGTAGGCCACGTAAAATGATAGAGCGGGGTCAGGGCATGCTGTAGCGCACAGTGCGCAGAAATCGCCAACTGTCTGCAGAGTCAATAGCTAAAGACCTCCAAACTTGGTTGGGCCTTCAGATTACTACAACAACAGTGCGTAGAGAGCTTCATGGAATGGGTTTCCATGGCCGAGCAGCTGCATCCAAGCCTTACATCAACAAGCGTCGGATGCAGTGGTGTAAAGCACGCTGCCACTGAACTCTAGCGCAGTGGTGACGTGGTCTGTGGAGTGGCAAATCATGCTTCTCTGTCTGGCAATCTGATGGATGTGTCTGGGTTTGGCAGTTGCCAGGAGAACGGTACTTGCCTGACTGCATTGTGCAAAGTGTAAAGTTTGGTGGAGGGGGGATAATGGTGTGGGGGGTTTTTCAGGGGGTTGGGCTTGCCCCCTTAGTTCCAGTGAAGGGAACATTTAAGGCATCCCCATACTAAGACATTTTGGCTAATTTCATGTTCCCAACTTTGTGGGAACAGTTTGGGGATGGCCAACATGACTGCGCACCAGTGCACAAAGCAAGGTCCATAAAGACATGGATGAGCAAGTTTGGGGTGGAAGAACTTGACTGGCCTGTATGGAGTCCCGACCTCAACCTGATTGGGATGAATTAGAGCGGAGATTGCGAGCCAGGCCTTCTCATCCGACATCAGTGCCTGACCTCACAAGTGCGCTTCTTGTAGAATAGTCGAACATTCCCATAGACACCCTCCTAAACCTTGTGGACGGCCTTCCCAGAAGAGGTGAAGCTGTTGTAGCTGCAAAGGGCGGGCCAACTCAATATTGAACCCTACGGACCAAGACTGGTATGCCATTAAAGTTCGTGTGTGTAAAGGCAGGCAGCCTTTAAAATGTCGGGACAGTACATATACTTTTTAAAAAAAATAACTTTCATCAGAGTAGTTCATTGTTACAATGGCAACATTGTACTAATACTTTTTTTTTTTTTTTTTCAACACTGATTGCTGGTACAATGGTGATCATTGTACCAGCAATGCTTTGAACTGTCATGAATGGGTTAAGTTCATGACAGCTGTGAATACTAGTGATCTATGATTGGCTACAGCTAATTGTATGTTACTGTGTGCTGTGATTGGCCCATGTGAAAAACAGGATTTTTTACAGACTCACAGAGCAGGGGGGAGCTGCAGTTATACCCTGTTTTTGTCTTTGACAGCTGATTGAAGGGAAAGGACACACCCCCTTTACACTGCATACCGTAACAGAGTTGAGGCTGTCAATAACCTGGAGCTCCCTCCTCTGTCCCCTTTTTTTTATTTCTTTATTTTTTGATTAGTTGTGTCAGAAGTGACTTGTGCTGATAACAGATGAACTAGAAAGCAGAGAGAATTGACACTTAATGCTTTGGAAAGAGGAAAGTAAACTCTATAGAAATATGTGCTTTGTTCAGATTTTATGTCTGAGGCTTACAACCACTTTAAATCTGTCTGCATTGTTATGTTGTAGCCTATTCAGTCCACGTGAAGTAGAACTTTAAAACAAAAACATTTGAAGGCAGAAAGGCTTTTTATTGCTGAAGAGACTTTTTTTTTTTTTTTTTTGTCTTTTTCTGCACAAAACCATCCCACTTGCAAGGTCCTTGGCATGCCTTTGTGTTGCAATGAGTTAGGCCAGCCAACCAAGATGAATGTAGATGCTGAACCCAGAAAAAGACCAGACAAAGATGCCAGCAAGGAAGCAAGATGTCACTTTGCTGGAGGAAAGGCGAACATAGACGACTTTAGTTCTCACAGGTTTAATTTCAACTGATGTGTTGAGTTTTTCCACCTACTCATAAGAGCTGTTTACTGTTTCAGAAATATTCCTCCAGGCATCTTGCAGCAAAAGGTTTATAAGCTGAAGTCCCGGAATGTTCCTCAGTGGCAAAGTCTGAATTTTAAAGGTACACTCCATTTTCACTGAGCATACATTGATTGGATATGGTAGCAAAGGCTCTAGTGGCTTTTTGCATTTAATTGAAATCATTCCCCCCACTTTAAAGCAACCCTGTTGTCTTAAAAAAAAAAAAAAAAAAAAAAAAGATCCACATCAAAGTTCCCTGAACTAAAAGTATTCTTGATTCTCCGGCACAAAGTGTTTTACCTCCCCTCTGTTCAGTGCTGCAGCTTTAAGAGAGTTCCTGAAAGATAATGCTGTGGGACTCAAGGGAACTCTAGAAAGGAATATGCTTTGGGAATTAAGGGGTTATATGGATGTAAAAGGCTCTGGGACTCAGACGTTATAGGGAGGAGAATGCTTTTTGACTTTAAAGGTAGAAAAATGCTCTGGGGATCAATGGGATTATAGGAAGGAAAATGTTCTGGGAAATAAGGAAGTTATAGAGAGGAAACTGCTTTGGGACTAAATTACAACTGGGATGAAAAGGCTCTGAGACTCAAGGGGGTTATAGAAGAAGAAAAGAAAAAGGGGGTTATAGAAGAAGAAATGGCTCCAAGCCTCAAGGGGGTTATAATAGAAGAAACGGCTGTGAGCCTCAAGGGGGTTATAGAAGAAGAAAAGGCTCTGAGACTCAAGGGGGTTATAGAAGAAGAAAAGGCTCCAAGCCTCAAGGGGGTTATAATAGAAGAAACGGCTGTGAGCCTCAAGGGGGTTATAGAAGAAGAAAAGGCTCTGAGACTCAAGGGGGTTATAGAAGAAGAAAAGGCTCCAAGCCTCAAGGGGGTTATAATAGAAGAAAAGGCTCTGAGCCTCAAGGGGGTTATAGAAGAAGAAAAGGCTCTGAGACTCAAGGGGGTTATAGAAGAAAAAAGGCTCGGAGCCTCAAGGGGGTTATAGAAGAAGAAAAAGCTCGGGGGTTATAGAAGAAGAAAAGCTTGGAGCTCAAGGGGGTTATAGAAGAAGAAAAGGCTCTGAAATTGAAGTGGTTAAACACATTACATGTATGTGTATATCTGACAATTTAAAAAGACTTTGCATTCTGTTTGAACCCTTTGACTATCAAGGACATATTGTACATTTGTGTCAGCGCATGTTTAGCAGTTGCAAAGTGTAGTATTGTGCTGTCTGTTTTCTAGCCATTTAAATCCAACCTAAAACGCTATTTTTACTTGCCTTAGAAATTGTAGATTATTTGTGCACTGCGGTTCTGCCAAAAGCTGGAAGTCAAGGTGAACATGGCACTTAATTCCGAGGATACATTGGATGTAAGTAGAATTTCGTATTTCTTGTACAACTTACAAATGTTGGGCGCATATGCTGATCAGCCATAACTTAACGACCACCCACCTATGGGATGTTCTGGGGAAAAAAAAAAAAAGTCTGATCTATGTATGCTTCACTTTGCAACTTACAGGCCTTAAAAGGATCTGCTGCTAACTGCTTAGTGCCAGATACCACAGCATACCTTCAGAAGTGCCTCGCCGGGTCAGGGCTATCTGGTGGCAAAAGGGGGTGACTTCTTTTCCTTCTTCCCCGTTGTCTTAATTATTCATAAAGGGCTGCATAGAGTTTCAGTCTTGAAAGTCGGTCTGAAGGCAAGCTAAATCTATACATTTACAGTTGTCGTCTCATAAAGGCATCAGGAAATCTTCCAGTGACAGCTGTTGGGAGTGAAACTCCCAATAACTTTTTATAGAGATTTCCTGTTTCATCTCCAGGACAGGCAGTGAAGGGAATTCTCATCCAACACAAAAACATTTTTCTCCTGCGCTAGGAAAAGACTCAGTAGACCCAATAGGAATGGAATTTTCTGGAATTTTCTGGAATATGCACTGCTTGCTGCCCTCAACAGACCGGGGTGGTCCAAATACACTGGATGCAAATGGGGAAACAGAAAAAGGGCGCACCGACCTAGTGCATTATCCTTTAAAATATTTATTGAAGAAACAAAGTAAGTATCATACTCACAATATTATTATTTATTATTATTATTATACAGTATTTATATAGCACCAAAGGGTATGCTCAGCGCTGTACAATAGCAAGGGGGACAGAACATGAGACAAAACAGTAAGAATACAATACACGAGGGGTTCGAGGGCCCTGCTCTTTCGAGCTTACAATCTAGGAGGGAGGAGAAGGTGGCACAGGAGGAGATGGCTGTGGGGGATGGAGTGGCGGGAGGAGTGGAGGAGGTTAGTTGTTAGGTGAGGTTGGGGTAGGCATCCCTGAAGAGGAGGGTTTTAAGGGTGTGCCTGAAGGTGAGGAGGGTAGGCGACAGTCTGATGGATTGGGGTAGGGAGTTCCAGATGATGGGGGAGGTCCTGGAGAAGTCCTGCAATCGGGCGTGGGAGGAGGAGACCAGGGAGCTAGAGAGTAGGAGGTCCTGTGAGGAGCGGAGGGCACGGGTAGGGTAGTATTTGGGTATCAGGTCAGTTATGTAGTTTGGGGTGGCATTGTGAATGGCTTTGTAGGTCAGAGTTAGCATTTTGAATTTGATGCGTTGGGCAATCGGGAGCCAATGAAGGGATTGGCAGAGGGGGGAGGCAGATGTGGAGCGGTTGGTGAGGTGGATGAGTCTAGCCGCTGAGTTTAGGATCGACTGGAGTGGGGATAGCGTTTGTTTGGGTAGGCCAGTGAGAAGGGAGTTGCAGTAGTCCAGGCGTGAGATGATGAGGGAGTGTACGAGTTGTTTGGTGGTGTCTGGGGTGAGGAATGTGCGTATCTTGGAGATGTTGCGGAGGTGGAGCCTGCAAGATCTAGATAGCAGTTGGATGTGGGGTAGGAAGGAGAGGTGGGAGTCCAGGGTGACACCCAGGACTTTGGCGTGTGGGGTGGGAGAGATGGTGGCGTTGTTAGTAGTGATGGAGAAGATGGGGGGGGGGGGGCACGGGGTGGGGGGGGGAAGACCAGGAGCTCGGTTTTGGATAGGTTAAGTTTGAGGAAATGGAGCGACATCCAGTCTGATATGTCGTTTAGGAGGTGGGCGATGCGGGCAGAGAATGAGGGGGTGAGGTGGGGGGTGGAGAGGTAAATTTGGGTGTCGTCGGCATAGAGGTGGTAATTGAAGCCGTGGAGTGAATAAGTTGCCAAGGGAGGAGGTATATATGGAGAAGAGGAAGGGCCCAAGGACAGAGAGCTCAATAGACACAAAAACTCAGGCATGTCAAACTGAACAAGCTGTATGATCCAAACAACATCTGAGTCCATAAGATGGAACCCTGGGTGACCAACTGTCTAACACGTTTCGAGGACACAACCTCTTCCTCAGAGCCAACTAAACTAGCTCAGTACCCTGGGTCCTTTTTCTGTTTCCCCATTTGCATCAAGGGAATTCTCATGTATGGTTTTTAACCTACTCCATTTCTAAACTAAAAAAAAAAAAAATGTTATGGTAATACATAAAACTTTTAAAGGGGTGGGTTACAAGGACTCTAATGTTTAAACTTTTACCTGTGCTTTCTTTGTAGATGCCAGAGAAGAAAAAGAAATTCCTATTCAGTGATATATTTAAGGAGTATGATGGAGATGGCAGAACATTTTTAAGCAAAGAATTCTGCATATGAATGCCCTAGGAAGAAGTGCATCTGTAATATGGCAGTAAATATACCTTCATGAATGTGGAGGGCAAGAGAAGGAAACTGTAGAATGACAAATTTTATATTGTATTTCAAACCCTGCTGGGACACTTGTACCTACAGGTAAGCCTATAATAAAGCTTACCTGTAGGTACTAGGAATATCTCCTAAATGTGTTTAAACAGTTTAGGAGATGCTCACGGTCTCTGCACCTGGTGACATCACTTTCATAATGTGCTAGTATGCAACGTATACTAGCAGATTATGACATTACCTTGCAGGGGGCCAGGATTTTTAATTGCTTTATCTGTATTAACTACCACTTTAATGTGAAAACCTATTTCTTCCATGGCAGGTACCCCTTTACCTAGAAATGTGGCCATGCTAAAGACATTGAAACACATATTCTAAACAAGCAATAAATAGGCTTTACAACAAGCTCTCACTGACCTCTGTAGCTGGAAGTGCTCTGGAACAAATTAGCAGCTGTTGCTACAGATGCTTTTCACCTTCTCTCAGCTGCTCAGCTTACCCTGCTCCCCATCCCAGTGGTGACTTCTGATCTCTAATGTAAACATAGAGCACTTACACAGAGAATGGAACAGGGTGCTGAGACCTTACTTGGAAGACCTCACAGCTTCTCTTCTGAAATTTAAAGATGAATTGCTTCACAGTGCTGCAGCTACAATGGTTAATAAGAGCTTGTTTTAAAGATCTTTTACTGTGTGTATAAAGTGGGTTAATATTTAAATGTCTAGAGCCTGGCCAAATTTCTACTTGAAAGTGGATCGCAGTGCCGGGGACCCGCAGCAGAAGAATCAGCTGCAGGAAGACAGCCCTGGAATCCATAGGCTGGTTAATACCTGATTTTTAAAAGTCAGCAGCTACAGCACTTGTAGCTGCTGACTTTTATTTATTTTATTTTATTATTTTTTTTTTTTAAACCTGGTTCCTTTGTACCTGTTCCTCTACAAGGTTTAGTCCTGTTCTTCAGGTTCTATTGCCACAGGATGTCAAAGGTTGCTGGAGAGTGTTTTGTTTTTTTTTTTGTTTTTGTTTTTTTTTTTCTTTTTCTTTTATGGTAACTTATTCTGGGAAAATAATTCTGTATGAACAGGAAAGTGTTGCTAGTTTTGTACTTTGAGTGTTGTTTTTTTTTTTTTTTTTGATCACTTTAATCCTGGAGAAAGCAATTGTGTATACATGATCTTAAAGCCCATCTCCAGTCAAAACTGAGGGGTTAGAATCTCCTATTACTTTCCCTATTAATACTTTGGAGATGTCCTCTCTCATCCTCTGTGTTTTAGGAATGTCAGACAAAACAAGCCAAGGAAAATGATAACCCTTCATAAGGTTTTTTTTTTTTTTCTTTTTCTTTTGCATACCAATACTGTCCGTTGACATTGTGATCATGTG